TGCTCAATTGGTCTAGTCATCTCTGGGCCAGTAGTAAAATATGTAATTTCTAATAGATATATAATAATCTTAGTTATTCTTGGATCTTTCTTTTTTCATCTGCATTTTAGAATCATCCCTTCATCTCCCACCAAGAACTCTTTTAGGATTTTATCTGGAATTGCATTGAGCTATAAATTAATATTGGAAAAATTAACATTTTTTGCAATAGTAAGTCTGTCTTCTTCAATTTCTTGTACTGACATTTTATCCTTTTTCCACATGGTTCTTGCACATCTTTTGTTAGATTTATTTTTAACTAACTTACACTTTCTTGCTATTTTAAGGAGTATCATTTTTTATAATAAAATTAAGCATCCTGCTTGTCACTGGCACATAGAATAGAAAACAGTTTGTACTTGACATTAGATTTAATAATCTTACTCAACCCCTATTTTATAGTATATCTGTAGCTACTTTTGGATTGTGTATAAGAAAAAGTTCTATTACATATAAGTAATAAAATGTTTGTATTCCTTCTAAATTTCTAAGATTTGCTGTTATTTCTTGCCCTTTTGTACAGGCTAAGATCTTCCCTTATAACATTAGACAAATACAGTCTACTTTCTAAGTTTAAAGGGAATATTTTTAACATTTCACCTTGAAAAGCATCCTTTCCTATGGTCTCTTTTTTCATAAAAAGAGTTTTTATTTGTTCACTTTTATATTGCTAATATATTTTTTCTAAACAATGAAGAGATGGCAAATTTAATCAAACTTTTCTCTGCATCTGATGATAATCAATCCTCCATTAACCTAGTAATGTCTATAAGTTCTGTTAGATATTTTCTGTTGAGATCATTCAGAACTTTTTTCTCATAATGTCCTTAATTCCTATTGTTGGAAGATTTGATACTTTTACAATTCTAAATTTACAGTTACTTTTCTTGAAACACTTTGAAGACTTGGTTCCAACATCGTCTGACACCTATTGCTGCTGACAGCAATGTAAATTATTTATATTTAGCAATATGTCATTTATTCTGCTTAATCTATACTGCTTCATCCTAGCCTGGATTTATGTTTTCTTGGTTCTAGTTATGTTGGCTAAAAGCTCTCCAACATTGTTTACCTTCCCTTTCTACTATCTTGAGACTGAGAACATCCATTTCTGTCCTCTGTGTGTTTTCAGTTTGTTTGTATATCTTACACTTTCAATCTAGTTCACTGATATTTTTCCCCTTAAGCATGCCTAATTTGCTACTTAACATATATTTAAAATTTTTTTCATGATGTTGTCTTTTATTGAGAAAACTTGTGTTATCTTAACTCTTTCATGTTTGTTACTTTCCAGTTGTCTCCTCATTTTTTTTTAAGAGAGAGAGAGAGAATTTTAATATTTATTTTTTAGTTATCAGTGGACACAACATCTTTGTTTGTATGTGGTGCTGAGGATCGAACCTGGGCCGCACGCATGCCAGACGAGCGCGCTATCACTTGAGCCACATCCCCAGCCTCTGTCTCCTCATTTTTATGATAAATTTTATTTTCTTAAATGTTTCAGATGTCATTATAACAGATCTTTTTATTCTAATTCCTAAAATCCTTAAGCTTATCTATTTATTGATAAAATTACTCATTACTCATTCTTATGTTTGCATTGTTTATTCTCTTGGGTGTGTCGTACCCTTTGTTGATTTGATGTACTCAATCTTAGGCAAATTCAAGTCCTAAACATAATGCTTTTCTCCATATGGGTCTGTGTTAGCTTCTCTTGTGAGCCCTCTGTTGTCCACACTAGCTCCCCTGCCTCGTTCAGAAGGCTGTGACCGTTTGCATTCACCACCTTGCCACTCCTCCAAATCTCCCTGTCTATGCTGCAGTCATGACAGGCAATGGCCTATTTGTGTCACCTTTCCTTTTGTGCACATATACTTCTCAACATTCTGATTTTGGATCAGCCAACTTTTTTTTTTTAAATTTCTTTTTGGTTGAAATAACTTCAACTTACTTTCTGCCAGCCTAGTTATGCAGTATAATAAATCACATTTTTTAATGTAGGAAATATTTTTTTTAAATTTTATAACAGAATTTTTCAGAGATTCTATTCCTTTGACGGCCAGAAGCCCCATTCTAATTAACTATAATTTATGCAGCCTGGGTTCTTGCTAACTGCTCGGATAACTTGCACCTCACAAAAGGATTTTGCCCATTTGTATCCGTTTGCACTCTCTTACCCGTGATGAGCCATCCACAGAGCTTTCCTGAACATTTCTCAGGGCTTATATGTCATGACTTGACTTCTTCACACTTCTATGACCACTTCTCCCTCTTGTGCAGGATTTGACATTTCCTCCTTTATTCAGCTCTCAAGACAGGAAATTACTTAGGGCTCCACTTCTTCAATCTCTCCTCCTTCTCTGCCAATTTTTTAAACATTACCCAATTGCAGTGATTCCCACACGTACATTCTAGCCAAGGCCTCTATTTTGAAATACAGATTTCTATTCCCCACTGATAATTCAATATCTTCACTGGAAAATAGATTTATACCAAGCATGTCTAAAAATAAATGCTTGGTTTTGCCCCAAATTCTAGGAACAGAAGCTAGCAGACTTTGAGTGCCTAATTTCAGCCCCTGTCTCTAAGGCATCAGTGGTATCTACTTCTCTTAATTTTTTCTTGAATAACCCATCCTTCTTTTACCCACATCCCCAGACTCATCCAGAGACACTCTCTCCTTTGCTCACTAAATTACAGAAACACTGCTCTTTTCCCAGGACTTTGAAACATACGATATTCTGTCTCTTCTCAAAGATGTCACTCTTTTTTGCTTCCATCTGTGATGTGTTTCCTCGTACAATCTTTGGACTAAACTCTATTCATCCCTTAGCAAACATGTTAAATCTTACTTCACCCAAGTCTCTGCTCAAATATCAAGTCCTTACAGTCACTTCCACCACTTTCTCTAAATGGCATCTCCTGATGCATTTGTTTTGCTCCCCCGGCAATCTTTATTGGATCCTTCATCACAGTCCGATATATTTAAATTGCTTCAGGGATTGGAAAAGAAGGCAAAAGGACTGGGGTTGTGGCTCAGTGGTAGAGCACTTGCCTAGCATGAGTGAGGCACTGGGTTTGATCCTCAGCACCACTTAAAAATAAATGAATAATTAAATAAATAAAGGTCCATCTACAAGTAAAAAATATTTTTAAAAAAGAAGGAAAGAAGGGAAAAAATGCTCTTTATAATCTCATAGATAAAATGGTTCCATCTGTCATAATTTTTTCTTGAATTCACTCACTCTTCCCACTGTTGTGATCCCAGTTCAGGTCAAGTGACTAGTTTCTTACTAGTTTCTAGGGTTTCTTCACTAGAACCTTTCCTGTTCACTTTGGGTTTACTTATATTCTAAAACATGGATCTGATCAAGACTCAATAGTTACGTAGCATGAAATCAAGACCTATTCCAGGTCTAATACAACCAACTGTTCAAACGACTTCCTTCCACTTGGGCCTTGCTATTCATACCCTTCACATAATCTGCTACAACACTTATACCTCTATTCTTTAAAATACTTGTTTGTTTACTTCCACATTCATGAATATTGCTCATAATATTTTCTGGGCTATGGATATTTGATGGATGTATCAAATACTTCTATATGTGTCCGATGATATACTCTAATTAGATTAATAAATGGCATATTCTAGCAGTATTTGGTTAGACTAAATGGTATACTCTAATGCTCAATTCAACAGGGACACCTCAGAGAGTGGAAGAAACCTCCTTAGCGAAGATCAGTGGCTTCCATATTGAGATGTGAAGGCTGACAGGAGACGGACAACTGAAAGATGTGAAAATGGGGCAAAAGGAAGATCAATCATTGTAAATCGATATCAATATCAATATGTCAATCAATATGCATCTGCATATTATATCTTATTTGATTAATATTTGTTCATTTAATATCACTTCCATTTTTTTCAAACATTGATCCAAAAACTTCTGGTGGATGGTCTTTAGTTGAAAATCAGTTCAAAACCAGTTTGGAATATTCTTCAGAGCAGTTTTCGATATTTACTCTTAGACAGAAATGGGTTTGCCAGAGGCATTTCATATCCCTTCATCTTTCCATAATTGTATTTCAAAGCCTCCCACTCATTTGAGTTGCTATTTGCACATTGGGATGCCAATGCTAACTTCTCCTTTCATCTCAATTTCATTTAAAAATGAACATTTAAGCTGGGCGTGGTGTTGCACTCCTATAATACCAGCAGCTCAGGAAGTGAGGGCAGGAGGATCAAAAGTTCAAAGTCAAGTCTCAGCAACTTAGGGAGGTCCTAAGCAACTTAATGAGACTGTCTCAGAAAAAAAAAATGTGGGTTGGAGATGTGGTTCAGTGGCTAAGTACCTCTGGGTTCAATCCTAGTACCAAAAAAAAAAAAAAAAAAAAGCATTTAATGTCTAAAATAGAGGGGTAAAATAATTAATAATAGACAATACATCAATACATAGTAGTAACTTGATATACTCATGTGTTCATGTTTATTGTGAACAGTTTGGCACTACTCATGTTTCTTCTTATGCTTACATTGCTATATAGGGCTAAACTTTGTTTCTACTTATCATATGTTCTTATCTAAATGTGTGTTACCTCTGAATTTAGAACCACTACATCAAAACAAATTATGCAGGACTTGTAGAGAAACTTAGGAAATTATATCAAGATACGAAGAGTGCAGAAAATGTAAATTAGTCTATATATATGTGAGCCAACAACCTCAGCCCCATGAAATGACTTTTAAAGAAAACATGATTGCAATTACTATTAATAAAAATAAAATTTTAATGTAGAAAGAGAAGTTCTACAGAAGAAGAAAAGTATGAAATTATTGATTTCTTAGATCCTAAAAAAAAAAAAAATTGTTTAAGTAATGGGGTTTCTGCTGGGTGTTTTGAAAACATGGGAAGAGAGAATCTCTTTAGGATGTGAAAATGAATCTTGGCACTTATTACCTTTGGGCTTTACGGTCAGGTGGACAGACACCTTTCTCACCCCCAGTGGACTGACTGCTTGGCATTCATATTGACCTTCATCGTGTTGTGCTACACGGTCAATTCTCAGAGTGCCAGAGGAAAGAACTGTATGTCGGCCTTCCACAGGGAGCCGTCTTCCTGCAAAGAGGAAAAGCAAGTACTCCGTATTGCATTTGTATGACTCAAGGAGCGAAAGGCCAGAACTGCATGACTGTCCTAATAAAGGCTGAGATCCTTCTTTCAGGAAATCCTTGGGGTGTGAACTAGGATGGCTCCTTTCTGTATCACATTCCCCAAAATATGGCATGAGCCTTGTCCTGACCTCCCCCAACCTCCGCCACCGTTGAAGCCAGAATTAGGCAGTCAGTATAAATAGGTAAATTGAGTCAGGTCAGATTCAAGGAGGCCAATTTTGAGTGAGTCCAGCAAGTTGGAGACTGTCCCCTGAAGGATTCAAATGTTAATTCCTTCAGAGCCCTTCCTCCACCCTTATGAAGAACCTGTTGCCAAGGTAACCAGTCCCAGGAATTGTCCCTCCCTTCTACAGGGAGTTATTAAAGTTGTTAATTAGTGTGTCCTTGGCTGCTCCATCCTGCCCTTCCCCCTTCAGCCCACCTGTTTCCCACCTTTTGGCCATCCCACCGAGCACTCCTGGGCCTAGTCACATACACTGTAGGGAGAAAGATGAGGGGAAGAGGGCAGGAAATAAAGGAAGCCTAGGACTTATAAATAGGGCAGAACACCTTGCTTCTGGGGATACCAGGTATAGCCCCCTTCTCCATCCTGGGAGAAGTCTATGTTACCCCTTTTTAAATAAACCCTGCTTTTATGCTTGCCTCAGCTGCTTCTCTAATGTTCAAACTTCAACATGTGGGGGAGGAGAACTCGTCACCGATAATCTGCAGGCAGTATCACTGTATTGCAAGGATTTATCATCTCCCACCAGGAAAATAGCTTGGCCTCTTTATGAATCCCCTCACCTACCTGCTTGACTCCTCAGTTTTAACCACAATTAGAATGGAAATTTCAGAACGAGTCTGAATACTAATATAATTTTCAAATACCTCTCTAACATTGGTTCATCAAATGTATACAATATTGAGAATATAAAAGGATTATGGGAAAAGAATACTTAAAATGCTTAGGCAGCATACCAAATGTGGTATTTTTGTGACACTCCTGCTGATAACCCTCAGAGCCACACCCCAAGCCACCACTGTACTTCTTACCTTTGAGCTTACACTGAGCTTCTGGATCCTTCTCAACACTTTATTCCTCATGGTCACTAGCAATTAAATAGGGTTGTCATTCTCAACTATTTCAGTAAAAACTTACTGAAGTCTTGTTACAGTTAGAAAAAGCAATAGCTAACTTTATTGAGTGTGCACACAGGTTGGCAGCTACTTGTTCCAAATATCTAAAATTTTAAGCATAGTCAGATGAATTCTTACAACCGTCTGATGATGTAGTACATTTCATCACCCCCAGCACATAGTTGAGAGTACGCTAATAAACAATGGTTAATTTACTTGCTAAATTCATGCAACTAGTAAATGAGGGAGTAGAGATGAATCTAGGCTTTAGGGCTCCAAAGTCCACCTTGTAAGCACTGTTGTCTACTTCTCCAAGTCCCAGAGCAAGAACAGAGCAGAAATTTTAATCCAAAAATTTCGAAATGCATAGACATATTTTGAATTTAACCTAGCACTTTAACTAATGTAGAAGCTAAGATTTCCAAGCCCAGAGAGTCTTGGTCAATCTCTCATCCAGCACACTGTGCATCTTGTTGTACAATGTTCTCAGGTTCCTGAAGAGTACCTGGTCCCTCTGGATGGGAGGCTGAACCCTGCCTGCCAGGCCCTGTACCCAGGCTACTCACACTTCAAGAACAGCAGCTCTATTCTGAAAGTTTCATTTAAGTTTAATAAGTTGGAGCTCCATTTAGCATTTTGTTTCATTTCTGATTTCATTTTGTACTAAAAGAATTTTTGGATTCAAGTTGAAGATTAATTCAAAAGAAATCTCTAACATTTTGCAGGCTAGCTTTTGGTATTTTTTTTTAAAAAAAAAAAACACTAAACTTTCCAATAATTTTATTTTTAAAGTCTAGAATCTATGTCCCAGAGTAAAAGTATGATTTCAGGAAGGCCATACATTCAAATACCAAAACTTAAAACATCAGAAAATTTAAGATAGTGTTGTACTTAAAGTGTGCTGTTTAGATGTCCACAATGTACTTGTGATAATTAAACTATTTTTTGTACTTTCCAGAAAGAGAAGGTACTCATTTCTTCCCACAATCATTTATGGAAGTGCTAATACCTGCTTTGGTCCAGAGGATAACTGGTGGTGGGCGGCCTTCAGCTTCACAAAGAAGTTCTACAGCATGCTCCTCCAACACCACCTGGTCCATGGGGCTTCTTATAAATTGTGGTGGAGCTGAAGACAAAAGAGGCCACTAAAATCACAAATCATTTTGGAACATTTTAATAACAACTCGAGAAGAAAGAAAATATGTTTAAAAGTTGAAATATGTTTTGTAATTAGAATTAGTTTTGAGATAGCAACTTGAGGATAGAGAAAAAGAGAGACTGAGTTTCAAAAGAGAAGTCCCCAGGAGCCCAACACCTGGAAAACAGTAAACACCCAAGAACCTTTAAAATGCAAAATAAGCATTCTTCAGCAACCCAGACCTTTTCCTTTGCCTGTACCCTTGGTTTATGTGCTTTCCTGCAAAAGAAACAATGTACAAAAGTGCAAGCAAAGAGAAAACTGTGCAAAATTGTGTTACATTCTGTCCTGACTCTAGTTCAGCCCCTACCAACTGTCCTTTTATAAATATAAATGCCACACACCAATGGGTGGGTCTTTCTTCCTCTGGAGATAGACTTCATTCTCCCTTGAAGCATATTCTTTGCTTTAGCCCCAAAACTCACTCTCAAGATGGCCAGCATTCTCCGGTAATGTGTTTCTTACTCTGCCCCAAGTGATGTCTCTCCTGTGAGATATCGAACTCTTAAAAATGTATCTGCTTTCTTAATAAAACTGTCTGTGTCTCAGCTGACTGGTGCATGCTGAAATTTATTTCTGTCACAAATTCCAAGGATCCCACATATCCTGAGTCGAGGACCCCCTTCTCTGGGAACTCCTTTCATGACATTCCCAATGATTTATCAGCAAGGATATTGAAAACAGAGAAGTGTTTGCATATGTTTGTGCCTGCTTGCAAGGAAACCAAAAAAAAAAAAAAAAAAAAAAACAGAAATAACCAATATGGACTGAAGCCAGAATGAGACAGGCAGTCAGTACAGATAGGTAAATCAAGTCAGGTCAGCTCAAGGAGGTCAATTTTGAGTGAGTCAAGCAAGTTGGAGACTGTCCCCTGAAGGATTCAAATGGTAATTCCTTCAGAGCCTTCCTCCACCCTTATCAAGAACCTCTCCCTGCTCCCACCTGTTGCCAAGGTAACCAGTCCCAGGAATTGCCCTCCCTCCTACAGGGAGTTATTAAAGTTGATAATTAATGTGTCCTTGGCTGCTCCATCCTGCCCTTCCCCCTTCAGCCCACCTGTTTCCCACCATTTGGCCATCCCACTGAGCACTCCTGGGCCTAGTCACATACACTGTAGGGAGAAAGGGAAAGAGGGCAGGAGAATAAAGGAAGCCTAGGACATATAAATAGGGCAGAACACCTTGCTTCTTGAATACCAGGATACCAGCTATGGCCCTCTTCTCCCTCCTGGGGTAAGTCTGTTACCCCTTTTTAAATAAACCCTGCCGTATCTGCTTGCCTGGGCTGCTTCTCTAATGTTCCAACTTCAACATGTGAGGGAGCAGAACTGTCACCGATAACCAGCGGTATCAGGACCATTTCTTAGTCTTATGGAAGCTGCTTCATATCACTAGATCTTCCTGCTTATCTTTTACTAGCTGAAATAGACATATTTAAAGCTACAGTTCATATTTGAATTGTTAACAAAATGGTTCTCTCCAAATGTTCACGTATAGAATAAAATTAAAATCAAATTGCTCTATTTATTTCAGAAGAAAAAATATGTTCTATGGAGAGATGCTCCTGCAAACACATAAAATCATGCTTTTGAAAAAGTGCCATTTATGTCAAAATTTATAGTCCCAAATATTCAAAATGTTTATAATGCTTTTATATAAATAATGAATAGCTAATAGCTGCATACACCATTTGTAGAAAGGGATTCTGTTCACAATACTTTACTATGAAAAAGAAATCAGTGTGGCCATTTAAGAAAGACCCATAACCCTCAATAATATCTGAGTGGTGACAATTTCAAAAACTCTTTCCCAGATGACAGGCATAATCCCAGTACCCCTTGTTCCTGCCTGCCATCAGCGAATACAACAAACACGATGAAGTAAATACCATTTGACAAAGCATATTTGTTGCAAGTTTCATATTATGTGCAGATAATAAAGATTTTTTTAAAGGTCCTCATAAATTCTAATTAAGGTGCTAGACTGAATACCATATTATAAGATTAATTACACATAAGCATGAAGACCCTCAGGAATGCCTGAAAGCTATTTGTAATTGACTTCTAGAAAACAGCCTACAGACAAGCAGTGTCAAGCTCCTCAGTCCACAGATAAAGAAATTCAGACTAGAGGAGTTTGAATTGAATTTCTCTCAGTCAGAACCAGTAAGTGGCAGAGACTGTTAGAATCTAGGTCGCTCAACCCCCAGACTGATGTTCTTTCCAGAACATTACACTAACTCCTGAAATTACCAGGAATGGCTTAAAAAGAACAAAAATATTTCTACATTAAAACTTGAATTCATGACACAGTAAAAGAAGTATGTAATAAAAGTAGGTGGTAGTTAAGACAAAAAAAATTAAAAAATCTACCCAGTGTTCTAAGTTGGGAAATTTGATTTCAGTTGTTTAGTAATAATTAAAATTTAGTTAGCCAGGTCTGGGCAAAAAATATTGTATTACTTCATGTGCTCTTATAGTGGGACAGACAAGGCTGGACCCGGAGGAATAGAAGGAAGCATGTTTATAAAGGCTGTGTGCAGCCAGGTTCAAAAAGGGGGTTTTTCCACCTCCATCAAATCATGCCTCTTAACCCTGAGTTTAGAAAGTTTCAAAACTTTATACCCAACGTGTAGGGGCGGGGCTCAGAGGCTCACAATCTGCAGCAGCCCACACAAAAGCAGTTTTTTCCAGAACAGTGGAATCCCGACGTGGATATACAATCAAGGACACTCTCTGCAAGAATCAGCACCCAGGATCTGGAGAGTTCTCCTTGCCTTCCTCCAGCCTGCTGGCTCCAAAGGACCTGACTATTGTCTATTGAAATACAAAGGCCTCTGTGGAGGCCTTGGATTGGTCTTTCTTATCACATCCTGCCTCTGTAGTACACCTCCAGCCTGAAAACTCTGCTGCAGAAATTCTTGTTGATAGTCTAAGAACAGTTATTTTGGGAGTGGGGGGTCTCTGGAGAAGCTTAATTAAGATTTTCCATGGGGGCAGGGTGGTGCCACTACACCATCATTAAAATTGCAATAATAATAATAATAATAAACTCAGGCATGATGGTGCATACCTGTGGTCCCAGCAAATCAGGAGGCTGAAGCTGGAGGATCACAAGTTCAAGACCAGCCTCAACAACTTATCAAGACCCTGTCTCAAAGTACAAATAAAAAGGTCTGGGCATGTATCTCAGTACCTTGGGGTTCAATCCCAGGTACCAAAAATAAATGAATAAAAATAAAAATAAGTCCCAAGATTCTGCACGCTAGCAAACAACAGGCAAAATTTAAGTAAACAAGCAATTTACATTTGTCCCTTATACTAAATGACCAACTGCCTAGATCAAAGAAGAAATTTCAATCTGGTGGGGAAGACAATCAAAAAACCCTGAACATTATTACAAAGGTAGGCAGTGAAGCCTGGAGGAATTAAGGTTGACCTTTTTGAGCTTTTATTTAAAACTATTGCCCAATGAATCCCACTGCCGATGCTAAACCAGCACACGTGGTGATGGAGGACCTTTCTATTTTTATTACAACCCTGCCCCACGTTGCAGGTTACTCATGACCGTAATGCCACATGAAAAGCATTTCTGTTTACACTGTTAAGGACATAGATCTTTTCACCTAAGCCTCCATGTTGTGATTCATGCCTTTTAAATGAAGCTTTCTAGATTTTTTTTTTAAGTTTATTTGTCATTCATTCCAGCCATTTGAGGGAAGGAGGTGTTTACCGATGGGTAACTATGATATCTGTGATTCAGCATAACTGAACATTAAAAGAACTAGAGAAAACTGATAGAATACCCATTAAAATAACCCCAAAAGGGTAACATCTAAAATATTTATGCTCTAGGCAAATAAAGAAGCCTCTTTCATAAATGTATAAATGATTAATGGACCATTTTAAGACTAATTGAAAATCTTGATACACAGACCCACAAGTGGCACAAGAATACAGTTGCAAGTGACAAAGGACAAGGAGATGGCAATCTCAGTGCAAACTGACCAGTAAGAAGAAATGATTAGCGTTTTGTGGTATCCAAAAAGAGCAGGACTGTAAATGTTGTCAGAGTTTAGCTAAATATCAATTGATGCAGATGATCAAACAGAAAGAATAGGAACCACTTGCAAGAAGCTGGGAAGCAGAGACTAACATAGTGTGAAATAAAAGAGACTGTTAAAATGCAAATGTTTGACTAGACACTGGGTTTCTAAAAAACTAAGACTTAAAACATAAAATCACGGATCCAAAACAGAAACCACACACTATTTCTTTTAAAGCATTTTTCAATCCCAATGCATTGAAACAAATATAAAAATAATGTTTGGGTCCTTTAAAAGTAATTCCCCCTACCCACCTCACCTGAAGTTGCCAAAGACTACAAGGAGAAAAATTTCATTTCTATAATTTATTTCTAGAACAAGAAAGGTGTTTTCATAATATTAGCATTTCTACAGGACAACACAATTTTTTCTTTAGACATGTCAATGGAAACAAGAAATGATTGATCTATTTCTAACTGAAGGAATTGATTCAATTCAGAAAACTTTCACTGAATGTAGGAAACCCAGGCTGGGTGAAGTTCTGCACCTTTAGAAGAAAATATTAGTCTCAATGCAGCCAGGATTCACCATCCTGAAGTTCCCTCAACTCTAGAACTGTACTAGAACTGCACTAGACAGTCCATATTTTAGACTGTCTTTGCTCTGCGTTTTTTCAGATCAGAGGTTTTGATAGGTAACATCTTATGCAAATCTGAAATTAATGAAACCGCCTAACTCAATTAAAATATGCATACTCCCTGAGATCCTTAAAATGGATCGTTGTGAATTTTTAGACTCTTATGATATAATAGAAAACTGTTTTGGATAGGACAGAATAGGACTTGTGGCATCTCTTTAAAAACATGAATTCCACTGTTTATGAAATCTCTAAACCAACAGGAGGATTGCACATGTGCAAACACACACACACACAACCACAACAACGAATATGGAAAGGAAGGGGCAGCTCCAGGTTAAGAACAGAAAAACAACCGAAAAGCATTTCTTTTTTACAACATAATCACCCACACGTAGCTTATTCTCGGGGTTCAGAATGGCACTGTCACTGCTGTCGCTACCTGCTAAAGCCCTGAGCATATTCTCAGGCTATGTTGAGTAGACAGCTTGGTAAATGACTGTGAACCTGGGGCATAGCCTTTCACTTTCGTGGCTGGAGTGTCTTCCCTTTATCTGTAAAATATTCTGAAACACAAATATTTTTTGACAGTTTGCTGCCAGATTAATGACTTCATCTCTTTTATTACCAATGCCTGATTCTGGCATTTGGATAAAGACTTAAGTTGAAAAAATGCCCAACTTTTAACATGAAGCAGATTAGTTTTGAAGATTCTATTATGTCAAGAAAATAAAAGGCAAATAAAAAAATCTCTCTCTGCTGACATACATGATATTACTTTTCAAGTTGAAAAACAATTTTCCATATGTGACAGAAGGACCATTTCAAGCAGGACCTCCTGCTCCCATACCTTGTACAATGATGTTGGCTGTGGCGTGAACAGAGCCTTGACTATTGTTGGCGTGACAGGTGAATCCGCCATGATCCCTCAGGGTGATGCTCTGCAAGTGGAGTCCACTGGAGGTTTCTATGTGCCTGGATCCATCCAGTGCCTCTCCATTGTCCCTGGTCCAAGTTATATGGGGGTGTGGGTGGCCTGTGGCCATGCATTCCAAAGTTGTGCTGGTGCCAATTAAAACCTCCGTGTCCTGGGGCTGGATTACAAAGCTAGGCTTGGCTAAGGGTAAGAGGAAGACAAAACAAAATATAAGTAGTAACAATTAGGAAGGTTTATTTATTTATTATCTATTTTGCATTGTGGTTTAAAACTACCATTGAAGCCAGAATCAGACAGGCAGTCATTATAGATAGGTAAATAGAGTCAAGTCGGATCAAGGAGGCCAATTTGCCTTGCTCCTTCGGATACCAGGATACCAGCTATGGCCCCTTTCTTCCTCCTAGGGAGAAGTCTGTTACCCCCCCCCCCCCTTTTTTTTGGATAAATACATTTTATTATTTATTTGTTTGTTTATTTGTTTATTTATTTTTGCATTACAATTCTCAATACACCTTTATACCACAATTTATCATGTCTCTGGTTGTATATAAGGTATGCTGACACCAAATTCACATCTTCATACATGTATTTTGTATAATGATGAGGGTCATGAAAAAATTCTCATCATCTCCAGCAATCAGAGAAATGCAAATTAAAACTACGCTAAGATACCATCTCACTCCAGTAAGAGTGACAGCCATTACAAAGACAAACAACAAGTGCTGGCGAGGATGCAGGGGAAAAAGGTACACTCCTACACTGCTGGTGGGACTGCAAATTGGTGCAGCCAATTTGGAAAGCAGTATGTTATCCCTTTCTAAATAAACTGTGCTCTATATGTTTGCCTGAGCGTGCTTCTCTAATGTTATACTTCAACATGTGAGGAGTAGAACTCATCACTGATAACTGGCGGTATCACTATTGCCTTCAAAATGCCCTTACTCACAGTTATCAAAGAATTAAATCTAAAATAAATTAAATGTTGATTTTACATAAATACATATTTTTTAAAACAACCTCTTGTATTGTAGATGCTGCAATGTGCTCACTGAATACCTATTCTTTAGGGGCTAAATGTCCAAGTGTTCCAATTTAAAAACACTCACATGCTTTTAAATACAGTTCTCCCAGCAAGATCCAGGTACTTGTCACTGGAAAGAGAGTTTCCTTCCCAAATAAAAGGGCTAAGACTAGGTAGTCATCGCTCTACCTCCTGTTACCTGGAATTCAGGCATGAGTTTGGATTATGGGAAGTTGCCATGCAACTAAGAAGTGGCAATTATAAGGGAGGAGGAAAAGAGGTCTATGTAAAAAGGATTGAACAGTAGAAAAAAATATCATTGGTTTGCTAGGGTACTGGGGCCCTCTGTACAGATTACCTCTACACTACTCGTGGCAAACAATGCACCTACACACACACACACACACATACACACTCGCACGGTATGTTTAAGCCATGTCAAGTTTTGGTTTACTTTCAAGCTAAGTGTATTTCAAATAGATTTATAAAAAAAACCATAGAATCTAGACTTCCATATACATATTCCACTCTTACTAATGCTTAAAAATTACATCTTTTATGGGAATCTCAAGCATAAAATAAAGACTAAGTTATTAAAAATGCCTAATGATAAAGTTTCGGATTGAGGGGCTCATCGACTTCTGAGATAAACATACCCTGGAGAATAGGAATAAGCTGAATTAATCTAATTTAATAACCAAGATTTAATTCAATTTTGGTAATCTGAATGTCTTAAATATATCAGTAAAATTTTAGGTGTTAGTAAAATATAAAGATGCACAAGATACCTTCCTTTTCTTGTATGTTATAGTCAGAGGACAGAGGAAAAAATAAATCAACTACAGTATAGTAATGATATTATTTTATCAAAGTTGGGTGCAAAGTGCCATAGAACATGCTGACAGTGGAGAAGCACTGTCTAGGGAAAACTATTGTCATCATTCCAATAGGAAGAACCAGGGACTGAAATGGAACCAGTGATACTCCATGCACATAGGATCATGTCAAAATAAACCCCACTTTTATGTATAACCCTGATGAACTAACAAAAATATTTTAAAAGAGAAATATTTTTGAAGCAAGTCTGTGACAGTGGACATGGGAAGGAAGCTCTGATCTGACCCATATTCAAAGTATACTTTAAGACACCTAAAAAACAAAAAGACAGCAACAGAGGATGGCTCTGAGGTTGTTGAGGGACATTAAATATCCTGAGAGAGAGAGCAAACAGAAAGGAAGAGGTTTATGCAGGCAAATCTGTTTGGTGGGATGTAAAGATTACATGTGAAGGTGAGCAGGAATGATAGTGTTTCAAATCTCAGGAAAAACAGCAACAATAGATTTATAAGTTTTAATTATTAAAGTTGAACGCTGAAGAATTCTTTTAAAATTGAAAGAGATCTCAAATGGAGGAAGAAGCAATGTGACCAGGCCAAACTTGAGGAAGAGAGGGAAGGGGAGGGCTATGGGGAACATGACATTTAAGGAGAAAGAAGAATGAAAATGTCAGGAAAGGATCAAGAGGAAGTGATGTCCCCAAAGTCAAAGAAGGAAAGAGATGGTGGTTTGGAATGAGCTACCAGAGCTGTCAATTAGAAGTTATTTAGAAACCATGAAAGGAATCCCCATAGTTGATCAATTTCCAACTCAACTGTGTTTCCACCCACCCCCCCCACCCCACCCCCACCCCCGTCAGGCACATTCAGTGAATTTTCTCCATTTGCTCTGTCATGATCTGATCTGTGTCTCTACCAACAATGTCCTGCTTCGTGGCTGCAGCCAACCCACTTTCTCATTATACCACATCATCCTGTTTTTTCTCCAGACTGCTACCAGAAATATTTTACTAGAAGAAAAATCTAATTTTGACCACTCTTACTACACCGTCGTGATCAACCTGAATGATCTGACCTGCCTTACACCTCCCCAAATCAGTGATTTTGGCTCGACTCCGGAAGTATCAAGGATTTCCGTCTCTTGGATGCATCCTGCTCTGTCTCCCCTTACATCATACTTCCTTCCAAAATAATGTTTCAACTCTACTTATCTAACTATCTTTTACTTGTCCTCGCTGTCTACTTAGATGTCCCTGCTGCTGGGGACATCTCAAATGAACGTGACTCGCCAAGCCTGCTCCAAGGGACCCCCTCTCTCTCCCTTCATCCTGTTTGCTCCTGTTTGCTGTCTCTTGATATTATCAATAACCCCCAGTGATCTCAAATTCTTCATATACTGCTCCTTTTCCTGACTAAAATCTCAGGGGGTATACCAGAGCTGGCTCTTGAGAAGCAGCTGTTAAATTTTGAATATTCTGCAAGCTGGTTGTTAAGCCTAGCCCTTTATTAAAAGTTAAATTATGTAAACATACAATTGAATAAGTGTCATTAACATCGAAGTTCACAAATTCTGGCATTCATTATTTCTACTTATTTGACTCTATTTTCCTATTTTCTGTGGTTCTAAGGTGATTTATGTCTATGAATGTCTCTGTGGTGGAAACATTGCTTCATGGTGCCTACTGCACATCTCCTCCCAACTCCACCTTCAGTCATGCCATGTTGGTAACAAGAAATTGGCCATGGAAGGATTATTTATACCTTAGGTATTAGTCAATGCTGCAAATCAGAAAGCCCTTCCCAAGTGCTGGGTTTTAAATGTTTACTGGTAGAGAACTGTCCTTTATGCTTCCATCCCTCTCCTGACATCGTAAAACTTGGTTGAAATATGGCTATTGCCTAATAGACTACAGGCTCAGAAAGGGGAAAGATGATGCATTTCTACCATCACAAAATGATACTAATAAAAATCTGTCTTAGTCACTGTGTCTGATTTATATATGCCATTGAAATTATGGCAGAGCAAAGCTTCTGGGTAGTTGAAGGGGTGTGAAATCTTCAACAATAGCTCAGTGGGCATTCAATAAACATTTGTAATGAATTCGTGATGGATAAAGGACAAAGACTTTCTAAAGAGGATGATTTTCCTGCCTGGGAGCAATTGGTTCAATCTGCCTCAAGATGTTGGAAAGCTAGATCGGTAATTGAAAGGCTAATTGGAAAATCTTGGAATCACATCTGTGATAAACTGGAAAATAACAGAACTAAGGAAGTAACTTAAAAAAAAAAAAAAAAAACTTTGAGGGCTACAAGTACAGATCAGTGATAGAGTACATACCTGGAACGCACAAAGCCCTACCTAGGTTCAATCACCAGCACCATCAAAAATAATAGTAATAGGGGATGGGATTGTGGCTCAGAGGGAGAGCATTCTCCTTGCATTCATGAAGCACTGGGTTTGATCCTCAGCACCACATAAAAAAATGAAATAAAGATATTGTGTCCATCTATAACTAAAAAATATTTAAAATAATAATAATAATTGATTATATAATTAAAAGTAAATAAATAAAATAGAGCTAACTTCAAGGAAAAAATTTCTCTAAAAAATGTACAAAAAAAATCAGTGACAATTGTTTCACTTTGAAGCATTACCTACTTTAAAGAAGTAATCCAAGGCCATTTTTCAGTGCAAATAACTTTAGATACCTAATGCATTTGTATGAAGTTCAATCAGAAAATAAAGTTTTACCCGGAAGACTGTGGTATCTGAGCATGGCATTCTGTGTCTTGGCTTCCCCAGCAGAGTTCCTGGCCATACACTGATAGATGCCTTGGTCTGACTCTCTGGTGTTCCGGATCATGAGTGTCCCATCATCAAACATGTTAAGACGGGTGTCATCCTCAAGATCCAGTGAATTGCTGGAAATATATTATATATATTTATTACTTAATTCCATTCATATTTAACTCTATCAAACTTCTAATAAGATGGAATATAGAACATGTTTCATGAATTCTGATTAGCTGATTTATTTTTACAACCTTGATAATTCAAATAATTTTATTTTAAATTCCATTTTCTCTTTTTCATCTTGAAATAATACACTGACTACAGACTGTGAGTTAATCCATAATAGAAGGAAAGAAAATTTAAATGCCCTTCCTTCCTGAGCAGGGTAAATTTAGACACTGCTACAATCTCTCCTGTATGAAGATTACTTCAGCACAGTTTAACACCCCTGAATTACTATTTAAAAAAAAAAAAAAGAAGAAGAAGAAGGATCATCATCAGATGGTGATATGTAAGCTTTTACATCTTCCCAGTGAGTCATCGGCTCTCCTTCCATATTTTGTAAATTGTAAAAGAAATGTCTGTATTCAAATCAACATGGCTCAAAGCCCAGTATAATTATATGACTAAGCATTAACTAAGCACATGGTACTTACAAGTTCTTAGTTATTAGGCCTTATGAATTAAAAGGGATCATTTTTTATATACTAGGAAAATGCCTATTATTTATTTATCAATTAAATGGATAATCCATTGAGTACAAGTAGGTTCAGACATGTAACATCATATTGCACTAATAATCAAAGCAAGGGAATGATTTGGGGTTTTTAAAAATAATTTTTAAAAACAGCTTTATTGAGATATAATTCACATTCTATACAATTCATATGCCATTTAAAATTTACAGTTCAGTGAATTTTAGTATCTTAAGAAAGTTGTACAACCATATACCACAATTTCAGAGCATTTTCATCACCTTGAAAGGAAATTTTGTACCCCTTGGGCATTTTCTCATAATTTGCCTCTCCCTTCAACACTAGACAACCACTAATCTACATTTTGTCTGTCTGGATATTTCATGTGAATATAATCATACAATTTGTGGTCCTTTGTTTTTGACTTCTTTTACTTTGCATGATGTTTTCTTTTTTTATTTTATTGACTTAAAAAAATGACAGCAGAATTCATTACAATTCTTATTACACATATATAGCACAATTTTTCATATCTCTGGTTGTATATAAAGTATGTTGACACCAATTTGTGTCTTCATACATGTACTTTGGATAATGATGTCTATCACATTCCACCATCCTTGCTAACCCCCTGCCCCCTCCAAGAAGGCTGATTCATAGTGGGGTGGGAGGGGGAGCATGGGAGGAATAGAAGAACTCTAGATAGGGCAGAGGAGTGGGAGGAAAAGGGAGGGGGCAGGGGGATAGCAAGTATTTGGGGATTTTTTTAATCAATAAATAAAAAGATACTGACACCTAAACATGTCAGAAATTTTTACAGAATATCCTTTCTGATCAAGTTTATTTTTTCTTTAAAAATATTTAATGATTATGTATGAGAAAGTATATGCAAGTATGCTCAAACAATGTATTAGTTGTAAAAAAAAGGAAGAAAGAAAAAATAAGATCTACCACCTCCATCATTTATCACTCAATAAGCATTTATTAAGCATCTACGGTATAGAAACACCCTTCCTGAAGGAAAATATTCATTTGAAGAATTTCTATTGCTCTCCCTTTAATTTGTTAGCTTTACAAAACCAGTGAGGGCCAGGTAAATATTTGTTCACTAATTTTAAACTGTGCCAACACTCAAGGAATTCTGGCATATGCAAAAAGAATAAAGCACGTTAAAAAGACTAAGAAATAATCCTTATTCAATAATTTTTGTCATAAAGATAAGAAAGAAGCAGACAATGACCATATTTCACATTTATTATTTAGGTTGTAACGGAAGAGAGATGACAGGCAATGTGTTCAAGTATCCAGTGAGAAAAGCCCAATGTGAAAAAAAAAAAAAGTCAGTGAGAACTTTTTTCAAGAGCTTTGGGGAAAACGATGCTTTTGAATGACTTTGCAATGTAAGGCACAAGCAAAGAAAGTAGATCCTGGTACTGGATTTCCTTATAACTATAAGCTGCCAAAGCTTCTCGATATTGATAATGTGGTATAAACATCAGGAAGTACATTTTTTTTTAAATGTGAAAACTCCAAAGGATCACATATCATTAAACTTAATTATTTTGAATGTAATTCTAAGATTATCTAACATTGAATCAAATTAAGACTGTTTGAAAGGAGTATGCCAAGAATGGATGAAATTGCATTTCTCAAAAGATATCTAGTTTTCTGAAATTTTTTTATAAACCTCTGTACCACGAAATATCAAAGACTACAGGATGTGTTCATGATATCTAGAGTATGTCTAGGCAATGAATTCACCAAGATTCATTATGATAAAAAATGATATAAAATGGGCAGCAGCACATCACATCCATAAATTTAAGATGCATCATTTCTTTTCCTGGTTATTTCCGTATTTGTTCATGTCGTCTTCATTATACTCATAAAACTTGTTTGCTCTTAAATCATGATGTTGCTTGAAAAAAATCAAAATAAGCCTTCATGGTTCAATATATTCCTTTCACTTTGTCAGTTTTATGCAAGCTGTATATAGCAACTGTATGTAAAACAAAATACAATGATGCAAAAACCCACAAAGGTGTATATAAGTAAAATATACTTAGATTTTTTTCCTTAAAAATGTGTAAATAAACACATTTGACTTAAATATGAAGTAGCAATAACTTTTGTTAAAGTTAATTCTTAGCTGCAATGAATTACCTCTAATAATTAACCCTAACCTTTATTAAAGTAGTTCATTTATTAAGTGCTTTCTAAGAAACATGTGTAACTAGTTCCGTGTGCCAGAAATATAAAAATGGAATTTTATCATCATACCAATTAAAAATATCTACCACATACAAAGCTATCATCAACCATAAGTAAGGATACAGTTGCAATGTTTGCATGTAATCTGCTGGAAATGTCATAATCATATACATGACAGAATTTACATTTCTTTAGAATGGCTTAGAATTTCCATGGTCTGGATTCTCATTAAGGAAAAAATAGCTGGTTTAAAGACCTCTTTCATCATGTCACTGTCTTGTTCTACATCTTCAAGTGACTCTCAGAATTTGTCAACTGAAAGCCAAAGTCATTAACTTTCTGGTTATTTTTCAGTCTTTTGTTCTAATTCTCCTTGAGATAAAAATCTTTACTCTAGGGGCTGGGGATAGAGCTCAGTTGTTAGAGTGCTTGCCTTGCATGCACAAGGCCCTGGGTTTGATCCCCAGCACCAAAAAGAAAAAATGAAAAAAAATTTTTATTATATAAGAAGGTCTACCCTTCTTCCTGAACCTAGTCTATATTTGTTTTTAGTTTTGTACCAGGACTCATCCTTTATCCAGTCACTGGAGTGCTTCCCCTCCTCTTTGAAGGAGAAATAATTGCTCACTTAAGCAATTATTTAAAAACTTTGTATGGAGAGCTGTTGCTGAGTGCTGGCAATCATTTTACTTTTCTCCTGGGAAGCCTGAAAAGTTTCCAAAATTACCTTGATAAATGTATCTGCTTTGGTTTGAATATAGTTTGCGCTCTCCAAAACTCCTGTTAAAATGTAATCCTCACTATGCAACATTAAGAGGTTGGACCAAGTGAGACCTTTAAGAGGTGATTAGGGCTCCACACTCATGAATGCAATAATCCATTCATGTGATTAAGGGTTGGTTAACGGATTAATTTAGGAGTGGATCTGAGACAAAATCTCTAGTGTGTCTATTCTAAGAACTGGTTTGGCTCAGGCTCTCCTGTTTTCCCTGTCTCTCACCATGTGATACCCTGCACTGTGTCAGGACTCTGCCAGCAAGAAGACTGTCGTTAGGTGTGGCCTCTCAACCTTGAACCATGAGCCAAATTAAATCTCTCTTTAAATAACTTACCTGGACTCTGGTATTGTGTTATTAGCAACAGAAAATCAACTAAGTCAAGATCATTATGAAATTGATTTTTTGCTATGATTTGATATTTTGCATTCTCATATGTGGTTGATGTTGGTAAATATTCCACAGTTGGTTGAAATGTAGCACAGTTTAGCTTTTCATCATACACCCTCATCATCATATCATCATCATCAGTGTTATTAACTATGTTTACATATACCTTCAAATTCTAATTCTTGGTCTTAATATTTTTAAAAGGTAATATTATAATTTCTTACCACAGTTGGGAGTGTGCCCATTTATCCCTGTGCTTCTCTCAATTACGTTTTATTTTTGATAGTTATTTTATTAGGTATGAAAAGATCATGGAACTTACATTCAGTTGAATTATGTATTTTATCTGATCTAAAATGATACATAATTACACTACTGCCTTAAAGCTCATCTTAGTTTTATTAATATTGCTATATCATGTAAATCTTGATTAATATATTATTTATTATACTTGTTTTTCAGCCTTATGCTGCTCAGTGTTATATATATTATAAGTAGCATATAGTTGGGTTTTTAAATCCAACTTTACAATGTCCTTTAATAATCTATTTATTGTTTTCACTAATTCTTTAAAAATATTTTCAATGAGTTATTTTATGTCTTTTCTTTCCCCAGACTTTTCCCTGTCTTTGTAATACTGTCCCTCTTTCTCTTGTGTTAAACTGATCCAGTTTTCTTTAAGTACCTTCTTTCATTCCCTACTATGGAAGAACCTTTCTATTTGTTGGTATTTCTTGTTAGGTTTTAACTGGCATTCTTGACTTAAAAAAAAAAAATCTTAAAGTAGATGTGAGTCTTCATCCCCAAAATGAGGCATGCAAAGTTAATTAATTATATATTTTCCTCCTTACAAGTCTTCAATTAATATCATCTAACATTTTACTCATTCCTTATTTTAAATTTGTTCAGTGCTTTATTAAACAATCTCAGTTTATTCATATTCATCAGTAAGTTGAAAACTGCTTTTTGGTCTGGAGATGTAGCTCAGTGGTACAATGTGCAGGCAAGAGATTCCAAATTCAATCTCTGGCACTGTCATTACACCATTATTCATTGCTTAAAAATGTTTTCATTTTACCTTACTAGATAACTTAGTTGGATATAAAGCTGAAGAAAATTAATTCTCTTCCTTAATAACCCTCAGTATATTTCATTGCCTTAGGTCTGATGTAAAGATTGGTGCAAGTGTAACTGCTCAATATTTTAAAGTAATTTGCAAATTACCTTGGATGAAAAAAATTATCTGATTTTCAATGTTTTGATCATAATTTGTCATGTAGAAATTTTTTTTATAAATCCTACTTGAGAATTTACACAATTCTCAATCTGAAATTTCATAATGTTTTTCACTTCTAGAAAATTTGCAGGTATTACCCCTTCTCCCATTGTCTCTGGCTCATCTATCTAACCTCTCATTTTTGAATTCCTACTGGATGCACACTGAATACTTGAATGGGGTCCATGTCTCAGAAGGCAACAAACCCTTCTGAAATCTAGTTTACATCCACAGGTCTACCTTCTAGTACTCTAATTCTACATATGGCTGTGTCTAATCAGTTCTTAACCTTCTTTAAATGCTCTAAAGTCTCCTGCTGTTATTTCCAAAAGAGAAGAAAAGGATAGTCATAAGAAATGGATCCAAAAGTAGCTTCTATGAAGTTTGTAGTATTTTTTTAAGCCTGGTTCACATTAAACAAATGTCTGTTTCAAATTATTTTTTTAAGATTTTTATTTTATTTATATATTTTTTATTTTAACTTATTTTTATTAGACTATTAGTTATACATATTAATAGGATTCATTGTGATATTTTCATACATGCATATCATTTATTTATTTATTTATTTATACATGGTGCTGAGGATGGAACCCAAGGCATCATGCATGCGAGGCAAGTTCTGTACCACTGACTTACAGCCCCAGCCCAGTTTCAAATTATTTGCTATGCTCTACTTTATCCATATTCAGGATAAATATTATTTTACTTAAAAATTGTTAACAAATAGTAAGATGAGACTTGTTAATTAAAAATAGTCTTGTCATAAACTCTTCCCTTTTGTCTTTAACTTTTCTGTATAAATTGGTTAAAATTTTAACAGGAATTTCAACCTATTCTTCATCTTCCCATCATTTCATTCCTTCTTTTTAGATATATTTCTTTCCTTTTGAATCCCTTGGCTTCTTTAGTCACTTTATTTGAAAACTTTATGAATTTTATTAGGCAATATAACTTTTTTACTTATTCCTTTCAAAATACTCCTCAGTAGCTTTATAACTTTGAACATATATTTCTAAATTTAAACTAAGAAAAAAGTCAGAGCAAGCAGTTTTAAGACATAACAAGCAGCAATTTCTCTTTCTCAAGTGCCCTTGAACAATTTCAAAATGGAAATAAATTGAAGTCTTCTATCAATTGAGTCTTCCTCCTGGGCTACATTCTCAGTTTAATAGTACTAGCAATTACCATCCATGCAAGTTATTTTTAACCTACTCTTGTTAGTTTCTTCAAGGGTTAAAAACACATTTTAGCAACCTGATCTGAGATTCTCATTCAAATTAGAAATCAAAACTAAACACAATATTTATAATATCTCTCAGCATATTTCAAACAAAAATACATAAAAATTCAGAGTTTATTTTACTCATGACAGAAGACATACACAAAAACCTTGCTAGTTATCAATAACATAATTAATGATACTATTAAGTCCAAGAACTTTAATGCAATTTTATCATTTATGTATTTATGTTAACTAAATATTCCTTATAGCATTTTATTTTAACTTTAAAAAAAATTTTGTTATTGCTATATAATTTTTTATTCATTAGGTCTTAAGACTTCCAGTTTTGTGTTTTATCAAACAGTATAATGAGAATTAAATCAATGACTAGTATTTTAAATAATCTTGCATAGCCTTTATTACTAATTCACTTACATAAACCTATCCTGATTTACTATAGAAAACTTGAACTGTCAATATGAAATATTTTGTAACTAAAATAATTTAGATGAGACAATATCAAATTGTATTTTGATTTAAAACAAATAGTTGGTTGTTAATCCCAATAATTCCTTCTAGAAATAATACAAAATTATTGTAGTCAATTCCAAAATTTTTGATGCCTAGAAAAATAAAATTTTTAAGGAAAAGTCCCCCAGATCGCTTAACCAAGTCAAAAAAATAAGAATTAAAAGATACTGTTATCTCTAACAAATTCTTATAATTTTACTAATTTCTTCTCCAAATAAATTATTTGAAGTAAGATAAGAGATTACTGAAATTGAACATAGAATTACAACACATGCCCACACTCAGTATTTACTTGTTATGTATCCATGTAATCTTAGGCTTGGGGTTTCCTTCAGCTCGGCAGGTGAAGTAGACAGTATTTCCTGAGGTTACCTCCACATCTTGGGGCTCAAAAGTAATTCGGGGACTTTCTGCAACAACAACAAAAAAATCATTAGTATTTTAATTATAGTATTCTAAATTATTGTTGTGAAAATACTGCCATAATTTTCTTTCTATATTTAAGTTTTACAGATCAAACTGCATTAACCAAGTAACCAAGTAATACACATACCACTTTACTTATTAGACATATATTTGATTTCAACCTTAGAAGTTTAAGAGTTACTACATAAAAGTAATTTAAGGAAATTTACCTGTATTTTTATAGAGGTAAAACACAGTCTTATTTATGTATAGTTCAATACAATCACATTTATGGAAAAAGTTTTGATTTTTATGGATCAATTTTTCAAACCAAGTACCTGAACTGAGTTTGCAATTTTGTAAGCACTATCCCAAGGCATTAGCTATCTGAGTGTTTAAAATAGTTTATAAGAATTTATGCATCTAGATCTCAAATCTAAGCAAAATTATTTATAAATATAAATAAATGATACCATCCTCAAGTAATAAGAATTAAGTGGAAAAACATGGGAATATTTGAATCATTTCAATAAGAAAGTGAAGTGATTGATTTTTTTTTAAAGAATTCAATATTATTAGATTTAAACTACAGAGAACAGTGTAAAAAAGGAATATTGACTTTTTATGGTAATCTTAAATAGTCTTACTTAAGACTTTACCTGAATTTTACCATAAGTTTAGAGATTCAAATCTTTCTAAATGACAAAATTCTTCCTTTTGTAAGTGAATTATTTGAGATTTCTTCTCAATAATGATCATTCCTATTATTACATTGCACAGATCTTGAGTAATCTTACCTACTTTGTTTAAGTCCATATGATCTATGACTTGGCTTGACCCTTTTGACTTGACACATTTGAGTATTAATTTTAAGGAATAATTCAGCATCAAGTGCCAAACCAGTGATGTAATCATGATCAAAGCAGAGAAGGCATTTGAACCTGCATGTTTATGTTTTCATTGAAGCAATTAAAATTAATCAAACATCAAAAAGTACAGATAATCAACTGTGATCGATGCTAAACTGCAGAACAAGGGACACTTTCACAGATTATGAGAAGGAATTTGACCTACCTACCTGTAAGCACAGATAGGTGAGTGGAAAGGAGATTGAGTAGAGCCTTCCCAAGTAACTAATACTTAGGAGAGGACTATAAGAAGACGAAGAGGTGGAAAAAGAATAGTGTAAGAAAAAGAAAACAGCATGTGGACAATCCTTGCGTGGAGTAAAGGCTTTAGGATTTTCAAAAATGTAAAGCATGTCATAGCAGCAACACCACCCGGTAAGGGAAGAGGAGAACGGATGGAGGTTGCAGAGGACAACCTGGGGCGCAAAACGGAAATGTGACCTTGGAAGGATGCTGTGCTTTATTTTGAGGTAGGCAGCTATAGAAGGATTATGTGCAGAACAATGATGTAAGCAAATAAGTTTTTAAAAAAAGATTTTTCCAAACAAAACAGAACAGAGAGAGAAAAATGAAAGTTGAGACCTGGGTGAAGATACTTTGTGATCCACACAAAACAGTATCGATGTGAAATACAAATGGTAGTAAAGTTGTGACCAATGTGAGAATTACTTGGCCACAAAGACAAAGTCATTTTTCTTCTCAATTTGACAGAATTAAATTATATCAATTTGATTTTTCAAATTATCTGTTTAGAGACTTTTTAAAATGACTTTTCAGTGAAAGGATATTAGAAAGCAAATTTCTACTGTAAGTAAATCATCTGCATGAATTTACAAGAAGCTAAATTCTCCTCTCCCCTCTTCTCCCCCACACTGGCATATAAGTATTTATGTACATATGTATTAATTTATTTTCATTTAAAGCTATATGTAGGGATGGATACAGAAATATAGAAACTTTTAAAATAATTATATCTAAGCTTTAAATGAAAATTAAATGATATACTAAGCAACAATAATCAGTTCTTTAAATAAAGCATGATTATTTTATTAAGGTTATCTGACTATAAAAATATGCTTATTAAATCCAAGATTTACATTATTAAAAAATTTACAGAGAGATAGTAAAACTGATTCTTATTTTCACTTCAGTCATATTCACGGTCTCATGTGCATTTATCGAAGGATATTTTTAGCAATGAATATTAGCAACTATTTGATATAAAGTTAAAAAACAGAAATTATTCATGCTCAGCACTAAGTGATACTGAAGTGCGATGGAGAGTTTGGGGCTGGACACTACTTCTCTGTATTTTGTTTCTGGAATTAAGTGATCCCCAGGGTCTCTCCCAAACCTTAGTTTCTAATACCACAACTTCTTTAAATAAAAGTGTAGATGATGCAAAGGAAATTGGAAATCCTTTCAACCAAATCCCTTCTAAACATGTTTGATAATGTGCCCTTGCAAGTGCAACATCATTTACTAACCTCTGCAGGATAAGGACAATGAAAATAATTTTTTTTTTAAATACTCAGAGAAAGTTACGTACCGCAATTAAATTCCTCCACTGTTACTGACGCAACCGGGCGCCCATGAAGTCCTTGGGGGTGGTCACATGTAGCAGCGGCCTGAGTTTGGCCATTCTGGATATAGCCTTGTAAAAGTTCCCCCAGCCACTTTAAATCACAGTCACAAACCAGAGCATTGGAATCCAGACGCCTGTGCATGCAGGCAAGAATTATAACTGTTAAAAGTGACCATTAATTTCTACGATGAATCTTTCATGTGAAAATATTTAATTTTCTCTAATTTATCATATCACTCATGTCTCGACTCTAGGATCTCTAGTTACCAACAAACACATTTTAAGAATTGCTTACTTAACAAAAATTCCCCGCACAAAGAAATGATTAACGTTTGAGGAAATGGAAGTGTTTATTATCCTGGTTTGATCATTACCAATGCACTGTCCACATATATAGAATTTTACTGCACCCATAAAGATATACAAATATTATGTCTCCATAAAAATAAGGATGAAAAAGAATTGCTTACTTAATTGCATATATCACACAAATCCATGTTAAGACTTGAAATGCAACTTCCACATTACATACAATATATTGATTACAAATTATTAATTTTGGGATAAAATGTAATTATTTGTTTTAGAGAAAATTAAGAAAAGTACTGAAATGTTAGAGTTTGTTTCTATGATAAAGAGCAAAGACTATGACTTGATGGTGATATTTCAACTTTTTCATGGAGATTACTTAAATATTAGAGGCTCCATTGGCTCAAAGGAGGCTTATCAATGTATTTTTGTGTAAGATTAATGCAGCTGCCCAGGTGACTCCTTTTGTGTGTGTGTGTGTGGGGGGGGTGCGGGTAGTGGGGATAGAACCCAGGGGTGCTCTAGTATTGAGCCATATCACCAGTCCTGTTTTGTTTTTTTGTTTTGTTTTGTTTAATTTTGAGCCAGTCTCACTAAGTTGCTTAAACTGGCCTGGAACTTGAGATTCTCCTGCCTCAGTCTCTGGAGTTGCTGGAAATACCAGCATGCGCCAGATACCTGGCCTTCTTTTCTTTTGTAAACCTCCTTAGCATCTGCATGGATAAGCATGTATTCTCTAAAGGACAGAAACTGAACATTTTGTGACATTTCTTCACCTAGACACACAAGTTTCTCACTTTTGTCAAGTTTTCCATATTTTTTAATCCTTTCTAGCATGTTTTACTCAGGAAATAAAATTGATAGGTAGCCAAAGAGATTTATTATATACATCTTCATTCTTTTCAAAAGATGTAGAATAAGATGTAAACCCAGATATGATAAATTCTCCTTTTATTCCTTCCCAAAAATTAAAAAGGGAATTTGTCTAAAAGGAATTCTTACCTCCTCCTATGGAAGTAATCAGGTCACTCAATGAAAGAAAACTCTAGTGAAATAAGGATAATATGAATGTATTTAGGACAGGGAGGAGGCCTGTTATGAGGCTGAATATCTCTATCATAAGGATGTGTTCTACAAGACTGAAGCAGAATAGAAAATATTGATTTTTTAATAACTTTTAATCAGGATTACACATGTACAAAAAGTTGTTTAAAAACGTGGGAAAACAAACAAAAATGAAATCTACAGGAATCAGTATGAAAATTGAATAAAAGATCACCTAGTATTAATTTAGGAATTTGCATTAATATAAAGTTACTGGAACAAACAAACCTGAAATAAAAAACCATGATATTTTCTAGATTTAGAATTTAGAATATTTTTAAAAATATATGTCTTCATTTTAATGAATTTAAGGGAAACTTAATATAATGACAGCTCTGCGGAATGTACTATAGATGATTGGTTCCTAAGATTGTTATATTTATTTAAATTTATATTTACTTAAATTTATATTTATTTAAATTTTATTATAGTACACTGAAAAAATAGCTATTCAGTAGTTTTAAAATGCTAAAGTCAGGGGAAAAATTTCACACTCACTGAAAAATTAATGGTACAGCTATTATTTGCCTAATATTTCCAACAAGACTTCAAACAAAACTGAGAAAATAAAGCTGTGGCTATAATAGAGAATGTTTTCAGCCTTGTCCAGAGTATAGTATGGGTAAAATATTAGACCAGCCCTTATTCAAGGATGCACTGTTGGTTTAGTGTCCTTGGTTGTTCCTTGTTACCAACCGATTTATTTTATCAGCTGCTCCATTAAAAAGCATCTATTTCAGCATTATTGTGTCCAAAGTGCACATGTGTATTTCAAGTTTAATTTCTGGTAATTTTATTAAAGGTAGTCTACCATCATATATTAAAGAGTATGCCTTTACTTTCAATATCAACATGACATTGCTCTGAGTTGAACACAGCAAGGATGTTGATATAAATCCTTTGGGAGCATCACAGGCATAGGACCTTAACATTCCAGAATGTCCCATTCTCAGAAGTCATCACTGCTGACTTAGTGACTCTCCACTAGTCAATGATCACACTTCTTAGGTATCCTTATATCTGCGTGTTTTTGTAACAACTGAGCTCAGGATTTAGTATCTTCTTATATTACTGTCCACTTCAGTTAAGATATTCATCCATAAACTGAAACCAAAAAATAAGTGAAACCACCATATGTATATTTTCATTTACCAGTTTAAAAACTCCTTTTATACTTAGAAAATATTTAATAGAGTACTAGAACTATACTTTTCTATGCTAATCTTTTGGGGAGACCCTTTGTAAATAGAGTATTTACAAACTTATAATTAAAAAGCATTTTTTTTTTGAAATGCTGTGCCTTAATTTATGGTAACATTTTCAATTTGAAAAAAAATCTATAGAATAAATTAATGAGAAAGATGGTTCTTACTAACCTATATTAGACTACACTAAGTGCTGTAATATACTGTTAAAATCATCACCATTTTATTACTTTACATTTTGAAAGTGTCCTTCCATCAAATATTACACCAAGAATAATAAAACATAATTTCCTCCTGACAGTATTCAATCAAGGATCACAACACTAAAATAATTATTCACTTGGCATAGCCACTATTCAGTGGACAATTTCAAAGGTAAAAAGGTGCCCAGTATATTAATATTTTCTGCTTGAAAACACAATAATATATCACTTGTACTTACATAATTGCTCATACTTAAAGATCTCAAAACACTTTTGAGGCATTCTATCAATGTTTACAGTATGCCTGTAAGAAACATTGTGAAATATAGACGGAGGGGCCAATGTCAGGGGACTTCCACTAGGTCAAACCCAGGATGAAGTCATGATTGTCAAATATGACTCTTGCTGGTTTCGCTAAGGGACACCCCCCAACTCCCATCCCGGCACTACTGGTGATTGACATTCCCCAGTTGTTGATGAACTTCATTGTTGAAAGTGGAATTTATTTGTTAGTATGTATAGCTCATTTATTAAGTGCCCATCACTCTCCTGATTCTGTTTTTCTCATCTAAATCATAGTCTGGGTAGGACACACATTTGAGGAATTGGGATAACTAGGTGCTAGTGTTCACCTTGTCTCAGAATGATCAGGATCTTGTGAATCCTGGAGCAATTTTCTCAGATCATCTGTATGTCAGTTTCCTATTCATAAAAGTAGATCATCAACATGACATACTAACAAAAATTACTTTAAAACATTTTAAATAAATACAGTGCAAGTATGTAAAATACTGGTACACCCCTGTTAACAAGTAGGGTCTCCCTCAGCCACTTTCTTACTAACATTTACTTTTGCACATATGTTCCAGCAATGGAGTGAATGCAATCTTTAAAAAAAAATGCAAGAAATTGGAACAGAAAAGCCGCTACTAAGAAAGAATAATAGGAAGGTATTAAGAAAAGCTAAGGGATTTAGCACTTCAAGACTTTCTGAGCATCTTAGAAGCCAAGAATGAGACTCAGGTAGAAACCTATGTAGACAAGAGGCATTATAATTGCAAATATATGACAGTGACTCTAACTGTAAGTGATATCACAAATCTAACAAAGGGAAAAATGGCAAGTTAAAAATAAAACACAATTTTCTCCCACCCCCAAAATGAAGCATCCTATCAATGTTACAAAATGTCTTGGTATTTTGCATTTCCCACACACGATTAAAAAGCAAGAATAAATAAGTGTGTTATTCCAAATGCTTGTGATACAACCAGTTCTGACAAGTAGGAAAACATTTACCAAAATAAAGAGAGTCATCAATCAAGGCCTTTTGTGGGTTTGAACACAAAGGACACAGCCCAAGAATGATGAGGCAGCATTGTGTGTGTGTGTGTCTGCTATGAGAAGTGCCAAGGATATCATCAGCAGTATGGACTTGAAGAAATGAGGTAGGAGTGGATGCACTGTCCTCTTGATTATTAATTATTCTTTAAGTGCAAAGATTACAAGAATTGTTTCTAGACTGGAATCAAATGAAAATTTATGTTCCTTCAGGTTCTGATTTTTTACTTAATCTTAGCATCCCCTTTACTCATGAACTTGTATCAAGGCACACCATATCAGAAGAGCCACTGCCACAAAACTGGCCTCCAAGGAAGGTAACTGAGAGCGTGAATTTTCCACTATGTGCTCACCAGCTGGTATCTGGGGAGCAGTGAGTCGAGTCTGTCCTTCACCCCATCACTAGAACTTACATCTGTGTACTGAAGGAACAAAATAACAAAAATAAAACATTAGCAGTGCAAAAGTACACACAGAGGAGGGTGAAGAGACAGGGCAGAAAAGTGGTTCACATGGGAAGGTAGAAAGTGAGGCGAAGTGGAAGACAGACAGGAGCAGGAAAGCCTCTGGAGTGGGGAATTTTGTCTCCTTCCCTCTACTTTACTGATCTTCCTTCAATTTATTTTTTAAATTACCGCATTAAAAGTTATACATAAAAGTGGGATTCACCGTGATATATTCATACATGCACATAGCATGATTTGGTCAATTTCATTCTGCAGTTCCAGTACTTTTTAAAAAATATTCCAATGAGAAAGAACAAACAGAAAACAAAATGTCAATTATGTAATCATTTCTTCTTAAGTATACACCATTATACATGTATTTTTTCATCTGTGGTCTTTTGAATCTGTTACTTTGTTTACGGATGTTAAAGAGAAATTCATAAAAATAAATATCTAAGCATGCAAGAAATCAAGGTAAATAAAAAATGTTTCATTTTCAGTAAACAATGTATATACTTATTGGATTGGGAATTTTGTCTCATTCTATTTAATGTGGGAGTAAATGCCCTGGACTGATAACTCTATGTGCAACAAGGGAAAACGAAGCCTCATGGACTGTCTATGGTATATCTCACATCTCTCTCTCTCTTTTTTTTTTTTAATAAAAACTTAAAGGAAAAGAAAAGTCTTCAGAGTCTTTCAATTTGACCAGCAAGGAAATTGACCAGTGAGGAAAATTCTATCTTCAATATTCCTTTTGAATGTCACTTCTAAGGGAATACATGAAAGCTCAGTAGACTATCTGGGTCTTCTTTCACTCTGCAGTTCAAAAAAAAAACAACCATTTTCTCCTTAATACAATGGAATTGCAGTGATCTTTCACAGCAGAAGGAAGCAAAGCTGATCGTTGTTTAGGATTTATTTATTTCCGAGAAAATTACAAGTTTTTTTTTGTTGTTGTTTTCATGGGTTTGCTCTTACTTACAGTCTTTTTAATGAATCCAGATGAGAAAAGCTCCCAGCTGGGATTGTAGATAATTTGTTGTTATGCAAAAATCTGAAAAAATAAAAGATAAGTTTCAGTCACCACATCGTAACAATAAGCCTGGGAAACAAAACATTGCTGCTTTTTTTTTTTTCTGTTTAACCTAATTGTGAAATCAATTTTTAAAATTTTTTATTAGTGCATTATATTTTGATATTTTTATTAGTGCATTATATTCTATTAGTGCATTATAGTTACACTTAGTAGAGGGGTTCATTGAGACATATTCACCAGTGAATATACCATAATTTTCTTCATTTCATTTCTTAGTACTTCCCCTTTTTTCCCCCTCCTCCCTCTCCTTGACCTCCTTCCCTCTACTTTACTGATCTTCCTTCAATTTATTTTTTAAATTACCGCATTAAAAGTTATACATAAAAGTGGGATTCACCGTGATATATTCATACATGCACATAGCATGATTTGGTCAATTTCATTCTGCAGTTCCAGTACTTTTTAAAAAATATTCCAATGAGAAAGAACAAACAGAAAACAAAATGTCAATTATGTAATCATTTCTTCTTAAGTATACACCATTATACATGTATTTTTTCATCTGTGGTCTTTTGAATCTGTTACTTTGTTTACGGATGTTAAAGAGAAATTCATAAAAATAAATATCTAAGCATGCAAGAAATCAAGGTAAATAAAAAATGTTTCATTTTCAGTAAACAATGTATATGCTTATTAAATCATCACATTGTACAAATTGAATATATGCAATATATTTTTGCCAATTAAATTTTTAATAACAAATGGATGGCACAATAAAAAATATATGATAGCAGACGTCTGCAAATGATCCATGACTAAGTAGATCCTGTTGATGCCAGCACTTGGCCTGTGTTTCAGCTTCCTGGCCAACCATAGTTTTGCTTAATGAGAGGCCCATTTGGTGTGGCAGAGCTTGTTGGCTCAGACAGTCATTCACATATTAGCTCTCAAATCATGCCCACATACTGACACCCAGGGCAGTATTGCAGAGGAATGCACGTCCCAGGCTCCTGTGCCCTTGAGAGGTGGTAAGGATGGCTGGAAGTAGAGGAGACCTAGGCTGCAGTATTCTTTTCTCTCTTTACACCTAGACAGTCCTGCAGTGGTTTGAGCTTCCTTCATTCTGTCTTTACCACAGCACCTCTTCCCAGGACTAGAAAGTTTATGGTTATAGAAGAAACCAGCTAGAGCCCATGTGGTCAAGATGACCATTAAATGCATATTCAACAAATATCACATATATGAACAGGGTGGAGGGTGGGAACTGTTCCTTGCAAAATAGAGCAAAAATGCATACCATTTCTCGAGAGACTAAAGGAAACAAATCACATCATATCTAGAAAATTTTAGCAATTAGTCATCTCCAGCCTACTCCCAACCTAGTGTCCTTATCTCAAAGTTAAATGAGGTCACTGGGGCACACTTTCTTATCTGTGCTATGTTTTTGGACTTATCTTGGCTATTTTACAGGTTAGGGGTAAAAGTAATAAGGAATAAACTGGGGTCAAACTCTTTTGGTTCTGGAAATTTGAATTTCCATTGATGCATCTGCAAAGGAAATAGTTTCCTCTGAATATTCCTATATGGATATCTTATACTCATCTTTACATGCCCTGCCCAATTCACCAAATTCAGAATCAGTGACTACAGAAGAAATTGTAATATAAAGATGGTCAAATACACCCTCTCCTTAAGTAAGCTGCCCCGGGACTCCCTAGACTTCTACATCAACTAGATCTGACTTTCAGATGCATATCCAGCTCTGCATTGTTCAATTTAGCAAGAACTCTGCTAAGTCAGTTTAAGCAGAACCCCTACCTGTGACACAAGATCAAATTTTTCATCCTCCACTCTCTCTCAAGTAAGGTCTGATCACCATATGCTCCTTAAGCACAAATCCTGTTAGGTCAGAGTAGCCAAAATTCTCCTTGCTCCTGATGTTTCCTCTTTTTCCATCCAGTGGCTCCCACTCTGTTCCTTGCCTATAAATTTTCTTTTGTTCATGCTCTACTTAGAGTTGAGCTCAATCTATCTCCTTTATGCAAGACCCCATTGCAATGGTCCCTGTGTCTATGACCATGGCCTCACTTAAATAAAGTCTTCTGTCACTTTAACAAGTGACACTGATTTTTTTTTTCATTTAACAATTGATGTCATGTTGTAATTCTTTTTCTACCACAAGCCCTAATCCCTATGCCATTTCTTTATTCCAAGCAATATTGGATCAGTTTCATGGTAGAGAAATAGCTTGTAGAATATTACAGTTGAGGGTAATTTACATAAACTTACAATTTACATAATTTATTTTTGCTAATCTGTATCGTTTCCTTATTTTACAAGTAGAGTAGGTCTATGTGACAATAATAGTAAAAAAAGGCCTCTACAAATATGTATAAAAGTCTGAAAATTGCGTCAGTAATCACAGATTGAAAAATTTTATCTATTTTCAAAGCCAAGCAGACCAGAAATAATTGTTTAACAAGCGAATCAGAAGAAAAGCAAAACATTTCCATCATCACAGAGACTTGAAGCAAGGTATGTAAATATTGAAAAATCACTGTTGAACTTTTTTCTAAATATTATACAAGTCATGACTAGTTATCCAAATTAATATTTTTCAATATTTAGTTTATGTCATACATATTATAATTTCCAAATAAAGGATTATTCCTCTTGGGATTTGTTTTGTAACTCTTTCTTCCCAAGCAGATTAATTTATCTAAGCTTCAGTTTCTTTATCTATAAAATAAGAATTTTTATAACAAGTATCATTATTTTTCTCCAAGAATATTATATCAGTTTTAATACTAAAAATAGTAGTATTGTCTCAACAGTCCTATTTTTTAAGGGCACAAAAACGAATGCTCTTTCTTTCTTTCTTTTCTTTTCTTTTCTTTTCTTTCTTTCTTTTTCCTGCTTTCTTCTTTTCAAGTTCCCTGAAGTTAATCAAAACAGTTCTGAAGGGTATTTGTTAAAGCCTGCTTATATAATCACTTTGAGTGTTTGATTACTTTATTCCCAACAATAACCTAAAAAGCACTTCTTGTATTGAAAATGTTATACAGCTATTTGCTATGAATGTCTTCTGTCAAAAATGCTTTGTCAAAAAAAATACATATTTTAGCAGTATCTGCCATAGAGAATTTATTACGAAGATCTTTCTTTCCTGTAATGAAACCATATATGTCATCAAAAAAAGCCAAGTGATGAATAAGTTTTCCCCATTAATATTCTAAAAAAGAGAAAGCAAATCTGTCTGAGGTTTAAGTTAATGTTCCAAGATAGATCCCACAAAAAAAATCCAGAAAATTTCTAAAAAGTAGAGAAAACTTCCTGTTCAGTTCTTACTTGAGAAATATTCTTAGAAAGGACCTGACTTTCGTGAGGAGAATACTTATTTAATAAAGAAAACATTTTCCACTCTGGCTGTCTCCATACCCATGATGGCACTAAAGATCCTCAAGCCATGTGTTCATTGGAGTGTGTACTCAAGAGTCATGTGAGCTCTTTCTGGGTACAAAATACCCAGGCTTTACTTCCTTTTCATGTACTTTTTATGCTTTTTTAAAAGTTGAATCAATGAAGACTCTTAAAGATGACTGGAAAATATAAAGTACTGATTGGTATTGTTAATGGGTACATGAAAGAGAAACACAAGGGACTATCTTTGCCAACAGTGTCCACAGCCATACCAATATAAAATTTGAAAATGGTGATCAGAAATAAATGATATTGTTATAATATTCTGTAATACTTATCATGAATTATTAGTCCAAAAAGTCAAAATTCTGTAATTTTTGACATACTTTAATATACTACTTTAATTTTCTGCTTATGTATCAAACTCTAAAAAAACAGTTCAACATGGATCCATAAGATGTGTGTAAATGCTTTTGTTTGGCAATAGAATAATAGTGTGTCATGTTTCAAGATAAGGCTTATCTATTGTAGAAAAAAAATTTGGTATGGATGTGGCATCTCTATTGAAAAGAACGTTCCCATACAAGTGTTAGGCACTGATATATATGCATGCAACAAGAGGTGGATTGAGGTTTTAATAAAATAATTTAATTTTAGTATTTATAAATCATTCAGCAAACATATTTCAAGATTATAAGGAAAAGAATTCTGGTTCAAATTGTGAACTAGATATACAAATTTGCCTCAGATCTTTCAAGACTCTACTTTGGTAATAGTCAGGAGGAGGGTCAATACAAATAAATAAACCCATAAATAATCAGAATACAAATGTAGATAGTAACCCCAGATAAGATATTTCAGCAAATTCTGGGAATAATATTTCTGGGACAGTGTTGATAAATGAAATAGGCAAAGCTCCAGCCCAGAGAATACTATGAGGCAGGACCAATGTAATTGTTTTGATCCAGAGACACTAAGGCGTTGGGGCAGAAAGACAAGAATGAGAAGAGGGATTGAAAACACAGAGAATCATTAAACACATGAATGGAGAAGTACAGTTACTCAGACACTACCACCCTTTATAGGACACCAACTTCCTAGAGGAAAAATATATGTGTGATATGTGTGTGTGTGTGTGTGTGTGTGTGAGAGAGAGAGAGAGAGAGAGAGAGAGAGAGAGAGAGAGAGAGAGATTTTTTTTCCTTCTCTAAGGAAATTGAACAAATAGAAGAAATGAATTCTGTGTAAGAGTTAGAACTCAAGAGAAATCCTTCTTCATTCTAACATTTTAGGAAGATGAAGAGATAAATCTACCATTTTTCACCCAGTTGACCAAACTAAAATTCCCACCAAAGGGGAAATTGTGTAAGAAACAAACAGACCGGGGAGGGGAGGGGGGATAGCAGAGGATAGGAAAGGCAGCAGAATACAACAGACACTAATATGGCATCATGTAAAAATGTGGATGTGTAACCGATGTGATTCTGCAATCTGTATTTGGGGTAAAAATGGGAGTTCCATAACCCACTTGAATCTAATGTATGAAATATGATATGTCAAGAGCTTTGTAATGTTTTGAACAACCAATAAAAAAAAAAAAAAAGAAACAAACAGACCTACCTAGAGACAGGTAGAAACTCACCTTACCTGGCCAATATTTTCTAGTGTTAATAAAGAACTAAGCATCACAAGAGGTTAATCAGGAGAGAAATAAATAAACAAACAAACAAATAAAATGAAACTAACCCTAGGAAGAAAAAATAAATCCAAAGAATTTTTAAAATAGTAACAGAACTGATTATGATTAATAGGCTCAGAGATCTGAATATATAGTAGACCTACAAAACAAGAGTGAGATGCCATGGAACAGGAATAAGTAGGAAACAGGAAAGAGCTCTTTTGAATTACAATATGATTAAAATGCCATTAAAATTTGGTTACGAAATTAAGAACTTATGTCAGATTATGAAGCCAAATGACAATTTAATCAACATTATGAAATGAAAGATAAAAGATATAGAAACCCAGAGAGTCTAATATTTATTTAAGAAGCTCCTAAGAGAAGAGACAAAAAGAATGAAGAAGAAAACTAGTCAAATATATAAAGAGAAGCTCTTAAAACTGTAAATGAACTTGAGTCTACAATTGAAAGAACATATGAAATACCTAGCCCAATAACTGAAAAAAATCTTTCTTTGATTCAAATATATAAAATTTCAAAATACAAAAAAAATGAAGAGAAAACTTTTGAAACTCCTTGCACAATAAACTTATTTTCTATAGAATAAATAAAACATAACCAACTGGAAGAAATAGAACAGTTGAAAACTGTGACCAGAGGAAGCCATTCTTGAACTTAAAATTTTACACCAGATAAATTGTCAATTAAGTATGAAGAAAGAACCCACATATCTCCAAGTATTAAGGATAATCAGTGCTTTCCCCTTAGCCTTTCATACAAAATTACTTAAGTATGTACACCAGCAGAATAAAGAAGTAAACCGAGAAAAAAGAAGAACTAATACTAGAAACCATGGGCTCAAACCATGGTGAATAGGCTGAAAAATGTCAGGTTGGTGACATTATTTAGAGAAAAGGCAGTTCAAATTAGAAGACTGGGATCTTTGGTAGAAAAAGGAGACTGTGTGGTTTGTATAATTTGGCAGTATAAAAAAAAATGTAAAGATTTTGCAAAGGCACATAATGTATTTTAAAACATATTAATTAATATAATTAGAATGTTCAAGGAAAGCAAAAATCTGTTAAAAAAATTATAGTCCTAATCTGAAGCAAGCACAATGAACATTAAATACTTTAAAACATGTGAGAATAGAAAATTAATTTTCCTTTTGTAAAGAAAGGTATTTTTGAAGCAGTCATATTTGTGATATTTATATTTAGAAATGAAATCATAGCAAAGTTCCTGATTCTTTAATACATTAGTTAAAATGTATATGTGTGCGTGTACGTAATATATGTATATATAATGTACAGTGAATACATGTATTTATTTTTTAATTTTTAGAGATGATGTATGGTCAACAAGAGGAAGTTTAATTATAGTTGCAGATAGGATAAACATGCTAAATATTTAAATCTCAAAATAATAATAATAATAATAAATTTAACAGAAAGCACATGTGGAAAAGGAAGAAAAATGACAGAAAGAAGATAAAATTAGTCATCTAAAAAATTTAAAAGGAAAATCAAGAGAGGCTACCAAAATAATCAGTGCAAGAATTAGAAGTTCAACTATGGGCCAAACTAAATATATACATATTATATATATCATATTTGGGGATAAGACAATAAGGTAATCCTCATCTCTCCAGGTAGGAATCAATTAATAAAATGTGCGATTGAAAAGTAAAGAAGCAAAGACCTAGGGATATTATCTTGACAGTCATGAATAATATAAAAGAGAAATGGCTAAATGAGGCAGCCTTTGGAAAGAGGGTCGAGCTAGGGAATGTTTTTCCATAGGCTCTATTGAACTCTGATTTGATAGCACATGGCTGCATCTCTAGGATAAGATAAATAGATGTATACTTATCTAAATAATAGAAAGGAAAACAAAAGATAAAAAGAGTTGATCACTTTCCTGTCCCTCTGAGCTTATTCATGGATCCCAGGATAAGCAGTCTCTTCTGTGAAAATGAGACTGCTGTCACTACAGGGCCTTTCAGGAATTCCACATCTACTCAGGTAGGACAACACTCCCTTCCCATCTTGGCAGCATAATAGGTGGGCTTGTGAGAGTCTTAATAGATGCTCTGGTATATCTTCGAAAAGCAATGCTCTTTCATCAGCAAAATTCCCCCCCCCCCAATTTAATCTGGTGCCCCAGTTCTTTTGAAGTTTTGAGTTATTGTAACTGTAAATCTTAACCATGACATGTGTTGAACGCCATGGTTGTCACACACAGGACCTCTTGAACATACACATTACTGGAAGAGTACCATTCGCTCTCCTACCCAGTTACCTATCCATCACCACAGACCTTGCAAAATAGCAAACAAAGCCAAACAGTGTGATTCCATGTGTTATGACCTCTATACTTCTAGAGGCAACCTGGTTTGGAGTAACTGTATTGGAAAGTGGCTGACTAGCCCTTACCTTTTTAATTTTACTATTTCTTACTATTTTATGCATAAGAGCATCATTGTTGAAGCTTATAAATTCCTAATTCATTCTTTTTTTAGGAAAACAGATTAATGATTAACTTAATCTATAAAATCTTACATTTTTTATTTCAAAAAAAAAAAAGAGAATTCAGGGGTAAATGTAACTGTTCATAAAATGTCAGAACATTAGGGTTTTAAACTGATTCGTAATTATTCAGCCTTGCCATCAATTACTCCTGTACTCACCAGGACCCAGACCTTTGGTGAAGGAGAATCCTTGGTCGCATTGTGATTTACAGATTTGTTTATCTGGCATTTTTTGCTATTTATTCAAATGGTCGATCAACTTCCCACAAACTGAAAAATGAATTCCACGAGCCTATTCTGAAAATGTGGGCCTCAGACAAACACTTGCTCATTCTCTGACAGAGCTCAGCAGCACACTCGTTCACCAGTCCTGTCTGCTTCTGTCTTTTTTTGTATGTGTAATAAAGTCAATTGACCAAGTGACCACAAAGAGGGGCAGTCTGTTTTTTAGCTGCTGTTCCTCTTATAGCTCCGACCATGTTGCTGTGTGATTATCTCAATTGGTCTTAATTGAGGCAGAAACTGAAGTTCTACCAATGAACTGTTTAAAAACAAGACACATTTTGTATTAAAATTGCTTGCAGTAAAAAAAAAAAAAATGTACCTTAAGCTGAAGACAATAAATTTGTTAATTAAAGGTCTTAGAGAAACTGAAGTGGTAATGTGTCTTCACCTGATAAATAGATAAGACAAAAGGAGACTGTACCAGTGTCCTTTTGGTTTGTCATTGTTTGTCTATATAAGTTTTGTTGAAAATTCAGTCTTCTAGAAAAGTGCAGATGCCATGATAATAGAGCACAACGTGTGTCCCCAAAGTGAACACAGGTGTGTGATGACTGCCCAGGAAAAATGAGGAAAAAAACATTGTCAGAATCACAGAAACTTCCTTCACCATTCCCAGCCACCTTCTGTTCACCAAAGTTTACCACCATTTAACTTTTAAATACTACACATATTCCTGCTATGTGCATATAAATTTCTTTTAAGAATAAAATAAAGCTATGTAATTTCAGTGTTCGGGTTGTTTCTTCTCAGATTTTTCTGAGGTTCATCAGTGTTGTTTTATGATTTTCTATTTTATAAACTCACAATGTGTTTTTCACTATTCTCTTATTGTTGGAGACTTGGATTTATTCTAATGTGGAGAACACATATTCTGGTGCACACATATGTGCATTTCAGTTGTGAATCTCTTAGCTCTTATCTGTTGCTATAATATATTATTTGAGACCGTGTAATAATAAAGAATAGAAGCCTATTTGGATCGGGGTTTTGGAAGGTGGAAAGTCAAGGACAGGGCATCAGTACCTGTTCCACATCTGGTGAGGGCCTTCTCACCACATGACAACGTGACAGAGGGCATCATAGTAGGAGGGCAAGAGCATGCTAGCTCAGCTCTCTTTCTCTTCTTACAAAGTCACTATTGTCATCAGGGGGTGCCACCATTATGACTTCATCTGATCCTTATTATTACCCCAAAGGCCCCATTTTAAAACCCCATTAACATATAAATTTGGGGATTAAATTTGCAATACATGAAATTTTGGACTATGCATTCAGTCCACAGCAGTGTATAACTAGAAGTGGAGTTCCTATTACAGCTCATAGGAGATATGTATGTTCCATTGTAGTAGGTTCCACAACAGCTTTAACCCCGTGGCTTAACCCCGTTTATGAAGTAGCCAATCATCTCTTTTATCCTGTTTTTATTTGGGTTATTCACCTCTTCATAGATTTCAAACTATGGGAGGTCTTACAGTAACTCTGTTTTATAAGGGTGTTTCCTAAGCTTACAGCAAAATGTTCTGATCCCCATGACAATCCAAGCTGTTGTATAAACAGAATATGCAAAGCAGAACATAAACACATCTAAAGGGTTAGCACTTACAGTCGCTCTAATTTCAGAAGGTCTTCAAAGGTCTCTGGATGTAGTGTTTCTAATTGGTTGAAATGGATATACCTGCAATGCACAAAACCAAGTTAGTTATTCCTTGTACTATTTAGTAAAATAAAATGTTTATGGAATAAACAAGAGCTTAAAATGAATTTTTTTAAATTTCGTTGGACCCAAACACCATACATCAGATACAAGAACTTAAGTCTCCTTGCTCTTCATAGCTGTGAGTCTAAAAGCCTGATGTTCCAAAAGAAAAACTGAAGCCCATCCAGAGAAGCCAGATACCACTCCTTTTTCATGGAGTGTCCTGAATACAAAGATGCTGAGTAGTTGGTGAAATTACTTTTCTTCTTACTGAAAAAAAATGCAAGCAAGTGAAGCTAGAATAACAATCAAGATTGTAACCATTAATACACACATAACAAGTGACCATGCACTTTTTTTGCATTTCATAATAAGGAAATTTTTGCTATCTGGAGGAGGTAAATAAGTATATTTGAAGTAATGTGATTGATCCAGGAATGAGTTACTTAGCAATAGGAAAATACTCTGGACAATGCATTATTAAGCAATTTTGTCACTGTGTAAAAATGAGAGTACACTTACTCAAACCTAGATGTGCAGGTCATTGCTCTACATGGCCTCTCCATGCAACCAATAGACAGTGAACACCAGGTGCATGTGGTGGCTGCTGGCATAACATGACGTACTGATTGAGAGTAAACACTTTTTCTATAAGTAGAAGGTGTACATTGCAAAATAACAGTTTAAAGTATGGTAAGATAAATAAATGAAATAGTCATTTATTATCCTTACCAAGTATTAGGTAATGTACAGAATATTTTGATATACTAGAAACACAAGAAGTCTATTCACACAAGTATCACTACAAATGTGTAATATGATGCACTATGATATTACACTGGCTGTTTTGTCACTAGACAATAGGAATGTTTTAGCTCCAATATGACCTTATGGGACCACCTTCCTAACTGTGGTCAGTTGTTGACCAAAATTCTGTTAGGTAACACCTGGCGTCATTAGAAATGAATTAATTATCACATTGGAGGAGGAATGAGCCTTGATCATCTTTTTCTCCATTGACTTTAGATTAGAAAATGTCTTACAGTAACTGCTTTATAACACAAAGGTAAAGACTGTATCTTAAGCTTACAGCAACATGTCCTGATCCCCAGGGCAGTCCAATTTGTTGTATAAACTGAATATGTGAAGCAGAAGCCAAGTACCTCTAAAGGGTTAAAGGGAGGTTCTTTAAAATGAGGCCTTTTCAGTCTTCCTCTATGCAATTGGTCCGGCAGGTTTTCCCAAAGCTGTTGTTTCAGAAAAACCTCTCTTAAAGCAGGATTTCTGATGACAAAAATGTTTGCATTTCTCCCCAAAATTCTGTGATAAAATGGAGATGCATGCTTCCAAATCAGAGGGCTGAGAAGACCTCTGGCCAAGTAAATCTTGCTAAAAGCAGGATCTATGGATGCGGCCACATCCTCCTCTCAAAAAATGTAAATGCACAGGCTGCACCTGATTTCTGAACACAGTTTTCATAAACCATCTTGTGAAATAAACAGTAATACACAGCAGTCTATAGTGACTTGCCTGCAGGAAGTACCTTAGATACCATACAAAGGAACAAAAAGTTTCATACTGAATCAGGAAGAGGACATTATGTCCATGTGGGAGGACACAGTAAATGGCCCTTGACTTTGTCAATGGGAAGTTATTTGACTTGAAGTAAAGACACGAATAAATGGAGAAGACTTACGGTTATAATTGCATATAACATTTATTTAATTGCAGGAATATTTTTGAAAGAAGAAATTTAGAAAGCTTTTTTTAAAAAAGGAATAATTCTCTTCCTAGGCTTTTTATAAAAGAATTATGATAGAAAGACTACCCGCCATACCTATAGAAAAGCTTAATAATTAGAATAAAAAGGATGTAGATGAAAAGGAATGATAATTGCAAACTGTTTCAGATTCAGTCCTAAAATCAGTGTTGCACCCTCCTGCTCTCTGAAAGTTGTCTCCCTGGCTGGTGATGCCATGCATTCCTCTCAAGGTTCTTGTTCATTATAAGTGCTACACTGGTGACACTGTGATAGTTGCCTTGGTATTTTCACAACACAACTTTATCTTTGTTTCTTTTGATATATATACATGCATAAGCACATTCACACATCACACACACACACACACACACACACACACTGTCCCCTACAAAATTATTATCTTTTGTAATTGGTCCAACACACAGTAAAGGAAAAAATTAAAGAAACTATGGGGAAGGTGTTAGGGGTGATGTTTGGGTGCTGAAGGAAAGAAGGCAAAGAGAGAAACTTTTGTGACTGCAGCATAGAAAGATTTGGAGAGAAATCTAGTGTAGAATTTTTCCTTCCAAACAGAATGCATTGTATCATTGGATTTCAACCTTCTGAATTTGTTACACATGCTCAATAATATAGGGTGTAAATAGATATCTATTGATGAATATGAATAGGTGCAGATAAAGGCTTTGAATTTTACATGAAGTAAATAAAATAACAGTAACAATAGAAAACATATATACAAGTGTTTTAAATGTACTTAATCATTTTTTAAATCTTCAAAATTACAGTGAAAGTTCTATGAAGATCCCCATTGTTTCATTGGGGAAAATATGGTACAGTGAGATGAATTAATTTGCTCCATATTGCACAGCTTAGAAATTCTGGGACCAAGACCCAGTTTGGGCAGATGTTTCTCTTAACACCTGGACATAACAGTCTCCGTCACTGGTACAAGAGTAGCTTCACACAATCTCAGCTGACATGCAAGATATGCATCTATAACCTATTGAAACCTGATATAACAATTCCAGGAGTGACATCTTTCTCAAGTATGGAAAAAAATCCTCCACAAAAAGAGTTAAGAGCTAATCAAGGGAAAATCCAAGTCACATATCTAGCAAAACCCATGATTTCAAACACTCTTAGAGGCTGCCTCACAGTTTGCCTACATTAGCGTTTCTGTAAGATGTGGAGTTTTTAACTAGAGGAAAGCATCACATTCCAGTAACCTAACAGGCCCCAAGAAAAGAAGTTTCAAGCTAGGTCTGTGGTTTAGCCAACTATATATTGCCAACCCAAAGATTTTACAAGTGAATATTCTAGCATAGAAATTAGCTAGACATTCATTTTCCTTTCTATCGTTTTATGCTTCTTTTGAGCAATGTATTTCATATTGCAATTTTAATCAAAAAGAAAATTTAAGTTTATGATGAATATTTTCAACTGGTAGTAGCCTTCCTGCCATCATTGACCAATGTGCATCCCCCATAATCTGCACAGATGTCTGGGTTACTAGAACAAGAACAAAAACTGCTTTCTATGGGTAGTATATCTGATATGCCCAGACAATTAAAATCAGGATGAAGAGGCAGGCCAAGGGTTTAAATAGCATGCAAAAGTTTATCCATTATCAAAGATACTATGATGTTAAGGATTGAATTATATAACTATCTTTTATAGTCAGTAGAATTTAAAATTTGTACTCCACAGTAATTAAAGTCACTGATAAATATTGATTTTGCATTAAAATAGTTTAAAAGTAGCAATTTATATTTAGAAATTCTTAAGATATGCAAAACTTCTTTTTTCTGAATGTACCCACTGAGACTGTACTAATCACAGTGCCCCATTTATTCCCCATTCCACCAATGCTTCCTTAGAACAAATCCCCTCAATTCCAGTCTCACCCGGGAAGCCCTACAGGTTGGATGATTTCTCCTGGACTTCAATCTAATACTCAGTAGGATAAGCAGCTGGTTTTTGAATTCGCTACTAATGAATGTGAAAAATGCACAAAAGTAGATATTTTTTCTTTGCAGGGAAATAAGACAACCTGGAGAGTTCTGTTTGATTATAGTGCAGGCATCTTTAAACAGCTTTTTTTTTCCCATGAGATTTGACAAATTTCCTGACAATTTTTTTCAAAAGTAATTTTTTTTTAACTTCTAAACCAATTCAAAGCAGTAGGATACTTTAAGTTAGGTTTGTTTGATTTATGTGATGGCTTTAGCCTGGTCAAATAAAGAGAGATTTAACTTTGATTTCCTCTCTCTATTGGGCCTTGATAATACAGCAATTCTATATTCTTCTACAACCTTATTTTTTGCTAGGTTGTTGATAATCCTGACACTTTTGGACATCCATTGAAGGTAGATAAATGTGAGTGATTGCTTGTAAGAATATTAAATCTGTTTCAATCACTTAGAAAAATTTTGAGATAAATGGACAGAAGCTATCTCTTCACACACAGAAGGCAAAAAGTTACTGCCATTATTATTTCATGTTCATTCATACATAACCTCCCTAGATGATTTCACATACACCCACAGTTTCAATTATTATTTCTATTCAGAAGGCTTACAAATTATATCTCCAGCCTGGATTTACCTCTAGGATCTAGATTTGTATACTCCAGACTTCCTAAATATCTTCTTGATGTTCCAAAGGTGCATCAAATTCAACATGCCTGAAATCCAAACCATGCTCCTCCTCTGCCATGCTTACTGCCTTCCATCGCTTCTAGCGTCCATTAACAGTGTCACCATGTATCTGCACAAGTCAGAAAGTCAGTGTTGACCCTCCTTTCCCTTACTCCCTGTATCCTATCCAACTCCAAATTCCTTGGGTGTTGCCTCTGAAATATCTCTTGAATTTATTCCATTCTCCTTTCAGCCACTATTTTCACGCTAAAGCAAACTATACTCTCAGATACTGCAATGCAAGAACCATGCAACTAATGTACCTACTCCCATCTGCTCTCTCCCTTACAGAAACTTTTCTTAAGAATCTTACATAGCTTTCAACTTCCATAAGAGTAGAGTTCTTTAACAGAACCCCAATCCTTGCCTGCCTGGTCTCATCTGAAATTTGCCCCCCCTCCCCTGTACCTGTTCTCCTTCACCAACACAACCCCAGCACTCTTGCCATCCCTTGATCTTGTCCTTGCCATACCCTTGCCCACAGGGTTCTTTGCACATTTATCTGCTCAGTCTGGAAACCC